CGCCAGAAGACGAAGGCTCTGGGAAAGACAAAAGCCCCAAAAGTCACAGGACAACTGGGGCTGAGACCCAAGACCTCCAACGCAGAAAGATCATGGTCCCTGGAGGAAAAGAAAACACTTTCGTGCCAGGGGTGAGGTGCAGCGAAGGAAGGAGGGTCTCCAGCACGTCCAGCCCAGACTCATTTCATGTGGTGCCAGCCGGCCAGGCCAGAAGAACGTGGCCCCAGGAGTGTGTACACTGTGGCATCTTAATGTTGGCATTCTGTGCTCTGAGCAGGTCTGCCAAGGCACACGTCTGTTTCACCTTCATGGGTTTCCCCTCGACTCTGGGTATTTTTGCAGAATGCAACAGGCTTTCGGGAAAGCACTCCACTCCTAACCACAGAGTGCACGTGAAATGCAGAGGGAAGACTCGACCACAGCACTTTGTTCCCTGCTCTGCTCTGGACACTTCCTCAAAATAAAGACCCCAGCCCTCAAGGCACTGGCCACAGTTTGTCTCCAGACCCTAGACTAGACCGTGCGCTCGGCAAGAGGTAAGCTAGTACACAAAGAAACACGGGGAACTTAAAACAACCCACAGAGCCACCTTTGAGTTAGAAAAGTCTGAGAAGCCGTCTTAGAAATCATGAAAGCTGAACACGAAAAACTTTTCTTCTGCTGCTCTAAGCCTAAGGAAATGAGTGGTGAGCTGCTCCAAAAAGAAAAGAAACAAACACACCCGGCACAGGCCATCTGCAGTCCTTATGGCTGTGATGCTGGGAATAGACCCCACATTCTCGGCCACATGTGCCTTTCCCCCCACGCCATCCCACCCTCACACCCCCACGCCCCACTCCAACTGCTTTATCTATTTATTCAGTCCTGCTTGCAGCAAGAAATAAACACACAAGTCTAAAAAAACAATCCGCAGCCTGTGCTGGGTCTGTCTTGGTAACTAGCAGAACTAAAGGGATCTTCATATTATTCATATTCAGAACTTCTCAAAAGTATTTCAGGAAGCTTATAACAATCTACAAAAACACAATAGATTCACTCAAATAAGGGCAACACATTGCTGACGGGACACATTAGAAAGAGCCTCCTCGAGTTTTCACAAAAGAAACAGAGCGGGGAAGGTCACCTGTCCGAGGCCATAATGCCACACTGATCGCTCTAACCTCTCCTTTGCCACAGGCTACGAGCTAATGCTTTACCTTGGGAAATGTAGGTTCTGACTGTCCAAGGGATTAGAATTTCATAAAGCTATCCAAAAACTTGACATTTGCTAGCACTGGCCTTGCCACCAATTCTGGCAAGGCCGACTTTGGTGAGTGCCCTGGAACAGATGCTGTCCCGAGTCAGAGCTGGGTGTCTGAGGACAGGGCGGCAAGGGGGTCTCTCCCCCTGCTGAGGTCTGGCTGCCAACCTTGCTCTGCTGGAAAGACTGGGGGTAGGGGTGGGGCAGGAGGGGCTATGGGAATGGGACACTTGACCACGCTTAGGATTTCTGCTCTTCCCTCACTAAACCCAGAGGAAACCTGAAGCAAGGGTGCGAGAGGTGGCTCAGCCGGTAGAGTGGCCCTGCCCTATCTGGCACAGTGAAAGGAGGGGAAGATGTGGGGTGGAGGAGCCAGAGTCCAAACAGAAAGGGAGGAAGTGGGGAGAGATGCAGGGGGTGAGAGGAGATGAGACACATACATACACAGTGTAGCAAACACCCCCTTAGATGGGGACTGGCCAGGCAGAGAGGGACACGACCGCCCGTCTCGCCACCGCAGCACACCTTCATGGCCTCTTGCACAGCAGGCCCCCGACTGCACCCTGGACCAGCGCTGAAAAGAACCTGCCACCAGGGTCTGAGGCTGTGCTGAGGGGACCGCCTGCCTTTGAGCCCCTGCCCACTGCCCAGTGCGGGCCAGGGTGGAAGCCAGGGATCCAGGAAAGAAGTACTGTTAACACAGAGAATCAGAATCAGAATGTCACTGAGCGCCAGGAGGGCCAGGAATGCAAGCAGGGTGACAGAGCAGGGTGACGGCGTATGGCTGGGGCATTCCCCAGCTCCCATCCCAAAGGCGCTCTCTAATCCACGTTCTTTAATAGAAACAAATGGGAGGAACTGACCTCTAGACCGCGGGTCGGAACCGAACTCCTCCCCCAGTCACACCCTACTTTCCTCCCTCCCCGAATCCACTCTCCTGCTCCTCCGGGTCTCCTTCCCATCCCTCACCCACCATTTGCGCCTGGCCTCACAATGCAGCTCTCATGCCCAGCGCGGATGCCCTGGCATGCCCTCACCCCCTATACTCCTTCCGGGCACAGCCCCATTGGCAAGTGCCCCATTGACAAGGCCACGGCAGGGTCCCTGTGCCCTGCTGGTACTGCCCAAGTCCCGCCTCTGCACCGTGGGCAGAGGAATTGCCTGCCAGCCCGTGCGGCCCTGCCTTTGATGGACGGTGCTCCCTCACCCTCCTGGCCAAGAGCCGCAGAGTCCTCAGGGGCAGTTCAGATGCCACATCCTCCGTGACTCCCTGCAGGACACCACTGCCTCTCCGTGTCATCGCCTCTGCTCACTAGCACGGCCAGCCCCCTGGCACTAAGCTGTGGGCTGGAGCCAGGACTAGTCCTCTTTGCCCCGGTTAAGAGTATGGGCCCCACCCACACCCCAACTGCCACGGAAAACCCGTACCCCAAGCCCAACAGCACACCTGAGCCGCTCCAGACTCCTCCCCCTCCCAGCAGCGCACACGCACCGACCGGGACATGGCAGCGCCTTCCAGGTCACGGCTGAGCAAACACCCGCACCTCAGGCAGGATGGAAGCAAGGAAGGTGCGCCTCGGGTGCCGCTCCCCCACAGGCCCAAGGACTCAGCAGGGCTCGCCCTGACCACCTTGCAGAGAGCAAGGAAGACCACGCGCACGGAGCCTTTCGGGTACAGGGCACACACGCACACCCCCCAGGTCACAAATCTACATTCTGGGCCCCTGAGCCACCTTGGCAGGGTGTCAAATCCCACCCATTCTTCCTCAGCTCAACTACTCTTTCAAAGGGGTTGAGGGAGGTGAACAGCACTGGCTGGTTGTCCCATTTAGTTCTTGTGCCCCACGGGGGTGCAACAGGATGCCCCCCAGGCCCTCCGAGCCACCATCACACAAAGACGCCCACTGGGCTCAGCTGTCAGCCAGGACCAGCCTCCTTTGTGTGAGATGGGGCAGAGTGCGTGCCCCAGTGTGGCTGTATTGCAATAAACACATCCTTCATTCCCTCTTCAGATCAACCAACAATTCTCAATGAGGGGCACTGCCCAAATTCACAGATGGACTGTGCCTACAGACAATTACTGATAAGTCAGCCGTCTAGAAAAAGAAGATTTCCCCAGAGAACCAGCACCTGCATGCAAGGTAAGGCTCCCAGGTTTGTCATCCACGCTGGACATGAAGCGCAGAGCCATGAAAGAGGCTGCCAGCCACATTAACTGCCTGGCTTGAGTACCCCTTGGAAGGCCCAGACCACATCTCCTTCCCCATCAGGCCAATGACACCCCTGCCCCTCCCCTCCAGGTGCCACGAGGAGACCCTCCCTTCTGATCAGCACAGTGTGTGCAGTCTAGTAGGGCATGGGGACCTGGGATACCCCTGCCCCTCCCCTCCAGGTGCCATGAGGAGACCCTCCCTTGTGATCAGTACGGTGTGTGCAGTCTAGCAGGGCCTGGGGACCCGGGTTCCCCCCCCCCCCAGCTTGCCAGCCCACTGCCTTTAGCCCACATGACTTCCTTCCATCAGCAGACCTGCTACCTGACCTCTCAGGGCCTGGCCCACAGTCAACTAGAACACCTTAACCCACTCGCTGCTCTCCCAATCCCCTGCCCCCCAAGTAAGGGCAACCCTCTCGAGGTCCTGAGGATTCGCACTCATCAGAATATAGTCCACAACTCCCGGGCTGACTTCTGAGCTGTGTCCCTCTCCCACTCCGCCGACAGGAAGGGCCGAGCCTTACTCAGACTACCACTGATGGAGCAAGAGACAGAACTTGCAGGTGTGCTCTGAGGACAGTCTAGGACAGGCCCGCTAGAGTAGGCTGCACCCCCTGAGTAGCGCGCTGCGGTAACGTATGAGGGCGGAAGACAGGGAAGGAGAGGAAAAGCCAAACTTGCAGGAGGAGGTAGGCAAGGACGCTCCAGTTCCCCCCAGCCAGCTCCACACCCACGTAAGCTGGGGGCCAGGAGTGCAAAGGTGGACCAGCCAGAGTCCTGGCATCAAGGCGGGAAGCACAACCCAGTGGGAAAAAAGATAAAAACAAAAAAGGGCAAATTGGAGTAAGAGCCACATTAGAAGGATGAACACAAGATGCGAACAACGAAGACTTCCGGGGAGGCAGGGACGTGTCACAGGAGGAAAGGACGAGCTGGGACTGGAGGATGAGCAGGAACGTGCCAGGTGAGTGGGGAGCAGATGCCCAGGAGGGTGAGACAGCAGGGCCTGCTTGAGGGTGACGGTGGGGAAGGTGGGCGGCGGGGCTCAGAGGCATGGCCGGAAAAGTCGGTAGGGCAGAGAGCAAGGGACACACCTAAATACTAGGCACATCCTGGGTCGTAAACCAGGAGTACAGCTGCAGCCTGGCCAACACTGAGGAAGATGTGGGTGTCAGAAAGACAGTACTGGTGGCAGGACGCAGAGTGGGTCAAAGAGAGGCTCCCTGGAGGCAGGGAAGCCACTGGGAGCCTAGTGGAACGCTCTGGGTCCGAACTGAAGGAACGGGGTAGGGAGGGGTTCCAGGGAGCAAACGTGACTTGTGAGGGGATGAGGGGAGGGGAAAGTGGGACTGGGCTTCCAGCTCGCAAAACTGGGTGGGGGAATGGTGCCATTCACCAAGACACGAAGTGGGGGGAACCCTGCGGGGGTGGAGGCCGAGGGCCACTAGGACACTCCTCCCACTCCAGTGGGTCCCTGTAAGCAGCCCTGTGGCACAGCTCAATGCCTTACGGGGGCTTCAGCATCCCACTTCAGTATCCCAATCTCACCTGCATCCAAAAGTCGTCTGCAGCAAAGTTGTGATCCCCACGCAGAAGAAAATGGTCCCGATGAGCTGGCTGGTGGCCCACTGGTCGTACCCCACACACATGGCGTCGGCCAGCAGGAAGGGCACCGCGATCGTGCCGCTGAAGCACGTCAGGTAGTGCTGCGGGGCGGGAGGAGAGACGGAGGGCAAAGGTGAACCCTTCCTTTTTTCCTGATTTTATCCTAACTTAGCTCCCCTATTGTCTTTGAAAAATAGCCTAAAGTGAACACTTCTGGGTACACATTCTTATCATGTGCCAAATGACAGTTTCTTCCTCTTTTTCAGCATTTCTCCCTTTATGATTTCTAATCTCATTATTCGCTGGTATCACTATTACTTGCATGAATCAGCGCCAGCACAAAGAAAGCATCCACTATGAGCACTTGGGGATATATTGTACTTATATTTTTTATTTATTTTTTTTTTTGAGACAGAGTCTCACTTTGTTGCCCAGGCTAGAGTGAGTGCCATGGTGTCAGCCTAGCTCACAGCAACCTCAAACTCCTGGGCTCAAGCGATCCTAACTGCCTCAGCCTCCCGAGTAGCTGGGACTACAGGCATGCATCACCATACCCGGCTAATTTTTTCTATATATATTAATTGGCCAATTAATTTGTTTCTATTTATAGTAGAGACGGGGTCTCGCTCTTGCTCAGGTTGGTTTCGAACTCCTGAGCTCAAACGATCCGCCCACCCCCGCCTCCCAGAGAGCTAGGATTACAGGCGTGAGCCACCGCGCCGGGCTATTTTACTTATATAATTCTTATTAGGGACATCTTTTTTATGCTTTTCTGGCATCAATTGCTAAAACCAAAGGCCTTTGTCTTGTAATCTGTTAACATGAATGGTATTGCGCTAACCCATTCTTGCATTCTGGGAAGAAACCCTAGTCATGTTATCTTTTTCTTCTGGGATTTGATTTGCCAATATTTTATATAAAATTTTACATCTACATTCCTAAGACAATTAGTCCACTTTAAAAAAATGCTTTCAGGTGAGGGGATTAAAGTACATAAGCCTCATTGCATGGGGTGTTACCCGTCTTTTTCTGTGGTCTGGCACTGTTCTGCCAACGTGGAATTTACCTGTTCCAGTCAGGGCAGGGATAAAGGAATATGATAGCTGTGTGTGTCTTCTAGAAAGAACCCCATCCCACTCTTCCTTTGGGCACTTCTCCGTAGACCCATGGCCCTGGGAGGATAGTCCCAGTACTTGTGCCGTACTTTCCTCCCTTCCCTGGTTGACAAGTTCTTACTTTTGTTTTGCAAACTTCCTACTTGTCTTCCCAATAGCTTCCCACTTCTGCCCATGTTTGCCAAAAGTGTCACTTGCAGCCCACGAAGCCCAGCTGCACAGGTGCTTACTGGGGAGGATGGACATTCCTGCTCAGGACTCCTCAGAGCTGCTTACAGGTCTGGGCAGTGAGTATCATCAAGAAGGGCATGATGCAAGCAGAGCTTCCCACTCCTACCTGACTAGAGAAGATTTCCAGAAACCTCTACGATATAACATTACAAAAACCGTGCCCCCTGAACCTGGTTCAGAATCCTCAGCTAAGCCCACTCAGCTTCTTTGTCTCTGACTCCTCCCTTCCTGGACACCCTCCAGTCCAGGTCACCAAGTGTTTTCATACCTGAAGGGGTGGGGGTGGAGGGGCGGGGTGGGGGGTCTGGAAACTCAATCAAAATAAACCTGTCTGGGCAAATGAGACTGGTTTTCCCACCATCTGAGATACCTCAAGTTGAACTGATCACATAAATTTGAGAAAGAAAGAATGGAAAGTCATACCTCAGAACAGGGTTCAAGCTAACACCAAAGCAAATACAGGTCAGGGGTGTGTGTCTAAGAAAGAGTCTCCCACCTAGTCCCCTTCAAAAAGCCTTACTTTAATCCTGTAAGAGGCCGGGCACGGTGGGTCACACCTGTAATCCTAGCACTCTGGGAGGCCCAAGCAGGAGGATCCCTTGAGCTCAGGTGTTTGAGACCACCCTCATCAAGAGCGACACTCCATCTCTATTTTTTTTTTTTCTTTGAGACAGAGTCTCACTTTGTTGCCCAGGCTAGAGTGAGTGCCATGGCGTCAGCCTGGCTCACAGCAACCTCAATCTCCGGGGCTCAGCGATCCTACTGCCTCAGCCTCCCGAGTAGCTGGGACTACAGGCATGTGCCACCATGCCCGGCTAATTTTTTGTATATATATTTTTAGTTGGTCAATTAATTTATTTCTATTTTTGGTAGAGACGGGGTCTCGCTCAGGCTGGTTTTGAACTCCTGACCTTGAGCAATCCGCCCGCCTCGGCCTCCCAAAGTGCTAGGATTACAGGTGTGAGCCACCACACCCGGCCATCTCTATTAAAAATAGAAAAAATTAGCCAGGCCTGGTGGCAAGTGCCTGTGGTCCCCGCTGCTCAGGAGGCTGCAGCAGGAGGATCACCTGAACCCAAGAGTTTAAGATTGCCGTGAGCTAGGCTGCTGCCACAGCACTCTAGCTGGGGGTGGTGGTGATGGGGGGGGGTAACAGAGCGAGACTCTGTCTCCCCCCCTCAAAAAAAAAAAATATCCTGTAAGAGGGAGGAGGGTGCTGAAAAGAGAGGAGGGAAAGTGCCAAAGATTCAGGAAGCCTCCATTAGACTGCATCACTGCTGCCTTGACCCCAGCCGTCTGCCCTCCCCTCCCACTAAGAGCTGCAGCAGACGAAGCAGCCACTGCAATGGCACAGTTTCCCATCCTTTAAATAATAAGACTGAAACCTCTCATTTAGGTCCTGGGCCAACATGGCACTTTTAAGGGTCACCAATATTTCATGGAAGAGTTTGCAATGACTATGGCTGGGCTAACTGAGCCAGGGATGGGGAATGAAAGTTAACTCCTCTTTTTCTCTACTCTTCTACTTTTCTCCTTCCCCTACTCTCCCTTCTTTCTATAACTCTACTATTTTTTCCTTCCTTTCATATCACTTCTCTTGCTTCTTTCCTGAATATTTTCCTTCTTTCTTTTCCCTGGTTAACCTACTCTTCCTGTTCTTTCCTTCCTCCCGCTGAGACAAAATTGATGTTAACGATTTCCAGGCATCATTCTTAAATGAGTAATTGATAATAATGTCTTCAATAAATAAAAATCAAAGTTGAATTTTTAAAATCCAGAGAGACAACTCAGGCATCTGCTGGTGGTTACACAGACTACAAGAACTATCATACCTGCAACCCCAGAAATATACAGAGGTACCAGGGAGGAACATCTTCTATGGTGTAAATCATGTCCGATCTCTGGGGGTCCAGACTGCCAGTGCTATCCAGGGTCTCCGCGAGGGAGCTCTGTGAGTGAGAGGGAGAAAAGGAGGTGCTTAGTACATGCAAGGACTAACATGAAAGTAAATGCAAGGACCAACTTTTAACTCAGCTCAGTCCAGGCCACCATTACAGAAAAATAACTTTATCAAGCGGCCACCAAGCTCCTGTAATTTTAAGCCTTTGCTCTTTTGATGCAAGGCTCAACTCCACTCACTCAGTGGGACAGTAACTCCTCAGAATTTGGAGGTTCAGTGTCCCTTGGCATGAACTCATCCCTGAGAGCATCCAGCTTGCTCAGAGCTTCTCCCCCTGCATGGACAGAGATGCTCCCAGGTTGAGACCACAAAGTAACACCTTGGCATGAGCGGTCCTTGAACAAGACCCCAAATGAAGGAAGGTTATAAAACGTTAACCACTTCCAAACAGTGAGCACTAATATGGCCCTGCCCCCCGCACCCCATCCCTCCCCTGCAAATAGAACAGATCTTTGTACCTAAAAATAAAGTCCTATACCGTCCTATCAAAACACTGTTGCTCAGACAACAATGTTAGGTGAGAAGAGCAAAATTCAGAAGTATGCAAACACGATGATTCAAATTCTGTTTAAAAAATAGACTAAAAATATATTTACAGTTTAGGTGACAGTTTTTTCCCTTCTTTGTTCTCTGACATTAGTAAAGATTTTCTTTTTAAGCCAAAATCATCAAAAACACCAGACACTTTCAGGTTATAATCTAGGAATTTCCAGTCAGCTTTGGTGTCACTTCTGAACTCACGGAGTACATGGGCCGAACAGAAAACTCCAGGTATCCCTGAGCTCCCCAACAGCTGCCTCAAAACTGTTCTGGTTTCTCAAACCCTACAGACCATTTCTTGCATGTATGGAATCCAAGATACTGTCTTCTGTTTTGTTTTGAATCTTTTATAACCTAGCAAGTGCCTAACAGAACCACAAGGTCTTCCACAATCAGATAAAGATGGTGACATTCTGACCCTTGGCTGTTATCTAGCCCAATGAGTGTCCTCTTATCTGATGCATTAGCACAGAAAAATGCGGGACTCAAGTGTCTGTCACTCAAACAGGAATTTGGGACCCAGATAACGTTAAATAAGTGACATGGTTGAGCCTCACCTTCTACAGCCTGACGGTAAATGTTTGGTGTGAGCTAGCATCTCATCTAATCCAGACGTAACTGCTATGACATTTCTGTTTGAACAGTGGGTACTGCCGAATTTACATTCTCAAATGGGTTAAACTAGGTTATATGTGTCTTTAAAAACTTGTTGGTAGAAATGGTAGGGATAGCACATGTGTGTGTGAGGAGTCTGATGTGCAGTAACTTGCAGTAAAGGATTAGCTCAGCAGCTCTGGATTGTCCAAACCTTGGACGTTTCAAAGAAAGATTTTGCCCTTGCCTGGCCTCTGAGCTTTGGAAATATCTTGCCCCTTAAGGGTGTCTTTTGTAACCTGAAGCCTTGGGCCACACAATATCACCCTGGCCTCTGGAGGAGCTGGAAACTAATGTCAGCTACACTGGTGATCAGTCATACCTATGTGACCAATCTCCGATAAAAACCCTGGACACCGGCCGGGCGCAGTGGGTCATGCCTGTAATCCTAGCAATCTGGGAGGCCGAGGCTGGCGGATTGCTTGAGGTCAGGAGTTCAAAACCAGCCTGAGCAAGAGCGAGACCCCATCTCTACTATAAATAGAAAGAAATTAATTGGTCAACTAATATATATAGAAAAATTAGCTGGGCATGGTGGCACATGCCTGTAGGCCCAGCTACTTGGGGGGCTGAGGCAGTAGGATTGCTTGAGCTCAGGAGTCTGAGGTTGCTGTGAGCTAGGCTGAAGCCACGGCACTCACTCCAGCCTGGGCAACAAAGTGAGACTCTGTCTTCCAAAAAAAAAAACTCTGGACACAAGGGTTGGGGTGAGCTTCCCTGGTTGGGAACAGTCCACGAGTACTGTCACACATCACTGCTGGGAAAATTAAGCGTTATCTGCACAACTCTACTGAGAGAGGATGATTGGACGCTTGTGCCTGGTGTCTCCTGGATGCTGCCTACATACCTTTTTCCATTGCTAATTTTAATCTGTATCCTTACTCTGCAATAAACTGCAAGTGTAACAGCATTGCTGAATTCGATGGAATGATTGTGGCAAGTCACTAAACCTGATTTGGAAACTCTCTGAAGTCACCATTTCGCTAACACCACGCAACTATGGATACTGGGCTCGCTACACAAAGGTCAGTTCAACACTGTCAAGTTATCTAGTCTCACAGGCATTCCGGTCAAACAAGGCAGACTAAGCCGGGCGCGGTGGCTAACGCCTGTAATCCTAGCACTCTGGGAGGCTGAGGCGGGCGGATTGCTCGAGGTCAGGAGTTCGAAACCAGCCTGAGCAAGAGCGAGACCCCGTCTCTACTATAAATAGAAAGAAATTAATTGGCCAACTAATATATATATAAAAATTAGCCGGGCATGGTGGCGCATGCCTGTAGTCCCAGCTAGTCGGGAGGCTGAGGCAGCAGGATTGCTTGAGCCCAGGAGTTTGAGGTTGCTGTGAGCTAGGCTGATGCCACGGCACTCACTCTAGCCTGGGCAACAAGCGAGACTCTGTCTCAAAAAAAAAAAAACAAGGCAGACTGCATGTGTTGATGTGTTGCCTCCTCTAACTCCTACAGACACACAGAAGGAATAGGTACTATGTAAATCCACAAGGACAAAGAAAATGGGAGGAAGAAAAATGAGATTAACACGTATTTTTGGAATACAGAAAGCATTTGGATAAGCTGTGACCATGCTGGGAGAAGGGAGGAATCGCCAACCTAGGTAATTACAGGATTCTGTGCAGAAGTGGGCTGCTTGACTCACAGAACCCCAAAAAGGGTCTACACTTGGAGGGACAGGTAGGGGTGGGGAAAGGATATGGCTCAACTCCACACACTGACCAGACACCCTGTTGCCCACTGCTATCCTCCTCCAAGACATAAAAATTTATGGTTTGAAGAAGGTAAGCTGGGAAGACTGGCTGATTTCCTCATGGTCATGTTCAGTAACAGCAACTACAAAGTATGATTCAGTTATTCTCTTAACTTTGTGTTAAGTAACTTTACGAACATATGCAAACGTAAAAAGAATACTAATCGCCTGCCCCATGCCGATTTACAGCTTCAAAAATCATCAGCATCATATTCTTGTTTAATCTATTTCCCATCCCACCCCAACTTTATTGAGGTGGAAGGATGGATTATTTTGAAGCAAATAATATGTATTTTTAACCCATAAACATAATGTCTCTTCAGAAGATAATACAGAGTTCTAAAAAGAACCACAATATTTTTATACAACTAATCAAATTAAAAAATGTGCTTAAGTTTTTTTCATGCTGTGTCAAAACTGTCTTATTACAGTTGATCTGAGTCAAGATCCAAACAATGGGCCAGGTGCAGCAGCAGACGCCTGTAATCCTAGCACTCTGGGAGGCCAAGGTGGGAGAATCGCTCTGGGTCGGGAGTTTGAGACCAATCTGAGCAGGAGTGAGACCCCGTCTCTACTATAAATAGAAAGAAATTAATTGGCAAACTAAAAATATATATAGAAAAAATTAGCCGGGCATGGTGGCACATGCCTGTAGTCCCAGCTACTTGGGAGGCTGAGGCAGAAGGATTGCTTGAGCTCAGCAGTTTGAGGTTGCTGTGAGCTAAGGCTGACGCCATGGCACTCTAACAGGGCAACAGAGTGAGACTATACCTCTCAAAGAGAAGAAAAAAAAGATCCAAACAATGAACCAAGGATTTTACATCCAAACTTTCCTTCAAGGCTAAATGCTACAGATAGTTTTGGATGCGTATTTACTACTGCAAGCCAGCCCCTCTTTTGGAAACTACTAGAGTGTTACTTCTCAAACTGCAATGAACATAATACGAAATACCTAGAAACTGTGTGAAAGTGCAGATTCTGATTTGGCAAGTCAGGCTGGGTCAGAGATTCTGCATTTCTAACAAGCTCACAGGTGATGACAAGGAAGCTGGGCCAAGGACCATGTTTTGAGTATCAAAGACCTAGAGGAGGAATTTCAGCAAACCAAGAAACTACTGGGGAAGCAACAGTAAAAGATTGACTGAAATTAACTACAGAATAACTCAAACAACTATTTTGAGGGTAAAGGTGTCAGAATATTGTATAAATGTCACATGCATCAAAAAGATGAAATCAAGGCCGGGCGCGGTGGCTCACGCCTGTAATCCTAGCACTTTGGGAGGCCGAGGCGGGCGGATCGCTCAAGGTCAGGAGTTCGAAACCAGCCTGAGCGAGACCCCGTCTCTACCAAAAATAGAAAGAAATTAATTGACCAACTAAAAATATATATACAAAAAATTAGCCGGGCATGGTGGTGCATGCCTGTAGTCCCAGCTACTCGGGAGGCTGAGGCAGTAGGATCGCTGAGCCCAGGAGATTGAGGTTGCTGTGAGCTAGGCTGACGCCACGGCACTCACTCTAGCCTGGGCAACAAAGTGAGACTCTGTCTCAAAAAAAAAAAAAAAAGATGAAATCAATACAATTAACAAAGTGTGAAAGGAAAAAGACAAAAAAATGGAACAATTAGCTGATATCTGTGATGTAAGACAGTTAGAAACCAAATATATGCTTAAAGGTGACAAATCAAATATTGCAAAGATTAGCATTAATAAGACAAATAATATTTCTGACCAAAATCAGAAAGTACAGAAGAGAAAGAGTAAAAAGACAAGAGGAAAAAATACACCAATTCTGTTATTATTCATGGTGGGAAACTAGAGAACAATGAAATAAATGATTAGTATATTATTTTATAGTTTTAATTATACAGGTATCCACTAGAATAAAAATATAAAAGTTTGGCCCAGTGCGGTGGCTCATGCCTGTAATCCTAACACTCTGGGAGGCCGAGAAGGGAGCATCACTCAGGGTCAGGAGTTTGAAACCAGCCTGAGTAAGAGCGAGACCCTTTCTCTACTAAAACTAGAAAGAAAT